GCTCGGGAGGTTTACCTCCCCCCCTCCCTGCGTCTGGACGGGCTCCCCCGCGAGGTGTCAGAGGGCCCTTTTCGGCCCAAGATACCCAAGAGGGCTTCAGAGAGCGCGAGATGGCCTCCAAGATGGCCCAAGATAGCGGTAGATGGCTCGAGATAGCTTCCGACACGCATCCAAGAGGCCTCAAGAAGGCCCCAAGACGGTTTCAAGTGCCCTCCGAGCCCTCCGAGGACTCCCCCAAGAGGCCCAAACCCTTCAACTACCTAAGGAAACCACATGGTTTTTGCCTTCTCGCTTTTTCGCCTCCGATGGGCTCTTGAGGCGTCAAGATGGCCCCAAGACGGCCCAAGATAGCCACACGAGGGGCCCAAGAGGGCCCCAAGACGGCGCCAAGAGCGCCCAAGAGCGCTTCAGGAGCGGCCCAAGAGGCCCCAAGACGGCATTTTTGAGCATCCGAGGGGGCGATGGGAATTAGAACCCCCCTCTTTTTTTAGCGAAAGGGTCCAAGACGGCCCCAAGAGGCCCCTCAGGCATCCCAACAGAGCCCCAAGAAGGCCCTCAGACCCCCCAAAAGAGCCCCAAGAGGGCCCCAAGAAGCCCCAAGAGAGCCCCAAGAAAGCTCCAAGAAGGCCCTAAGAGGACCTCAAGAGAGCCCCAAGAAAGAGCACCAGGAGGGCCCCAAGAGGGCCCCAAGAGAACCCCAAGATGGCTCCAAGTTTCGAAACGCACTCAAGTTTAAGATACAAATCAGTGCAACAGCCATTACGAGTCATCGAAACACCCCTCACCCCTTATCGAAACACCATCGTAGCTTGCACGGATTTCCATCCTAAACTTCAACGCGGGAAGCTCTTTGTGATCCTTGTTTTCCCGAAGACGGCTGCGCAACTGCATGCGTCCTGCCGCCCCTGATTCACCGACTCCCCTGCTGATCGTTTCTGGATGGGCTGGTGGGGATACTTTTTTAGTCAGCGGCCGCGGGCGAGCGCGCCAGCGGCGAGTCCAGTCAAAGCGGGGCACGCAGCGACGAATTAACCGAAGGCGACGGAGGGTGGCCACACCTACAGCGGCAAACCGAGCCCTCACGCAGCAGCCCAGCGGCGGACCGGCGGGTGGGGGGGCAGCTGAAACTGAGTCGTATTGCCAGCGTGCAAGTATGCAAAGCGTCGGGGCTCCAGGGACTCGGGACACACGACGACCCGGGCCAGAAGCCGAAATTAATGCAAGGACGCAGCCCCGGACAACTGCGTGAGTACCAGGGTGGCCCGAAGGACCGCCGGTCGAAGAATTAAAGCCAGGAGGCGAGAGCGTTGGCGCAGTCAACCATGCCGTCAGCAGGCACAGGAGGGGCCCGAGGACTCCCTTCACGGCACTTCGGCCAACGAAGACTGCCGCAAGGGAGGGTCCAGGCGTGCCTCCGCCTTTTTACATCGCTTGCACCGCTTACACCAGCCAACCAATACCTCATATTCCTCCCCCATTCTTCCATCCGCCCCTGTCCCTCCCCTCCCCACTCCCTCCACGTATCCTCCCCATCCCCTCTTCCCTCCCATCCCCTCGCCTCCCCCCACCTCCCCCTCCCGAGCCAGCGCGCGGGACAGGGCGGACGTCGAGCGGGTGTCGACCGAGAGCGCGCAGCAGAAGCCGGACTTCGCCAGCGTGAGGGCAGCGCGTTCGCGACATGACCCGCCCGATGCGGCGCCGAGCTGGAGGAGGAGGAGGAGGAGGAGGAGGAGGAGGAGGAGGAGGAGGAAGGGGGAGGAGAGGAAGGGGGAAGGAGGGTCAGAAGGGAGGCGGAGGAGGCAGAGGGGGAGAAGGAGGGGGACGATGAACGGGAGGAAGGAGGAGCTGGAGCTGGAGGATGCGGAACCATCGTACGGCTCGCTCTACAGTGTTAGATCTGGCGTTGTATGGCTGGTGCGCGTGCAGATCTTGCATCGAAACTGACCCTGATTGGGGTGCGTCGGTGCAGGTGAGAAGTAGTGTCCAACGATAGTGCAAGCCGTAACCAGATCTGAAATACTCCAGTTCCTAAGAACTGTTTCGCTGTGGGCGCTTCTGTCAGCAGAGGTAGTCCAGGGTCTATGTCACGGCCCCGCCAGGGGATCACTACTGGCACGTCCGCCTCGTCTCGGGCTTGTGCCCCTGCTTCGCTGTCGTCCCCCATATCCCTGGCCCCGATTCGTCCTCCTAATCGACCTCCTCCCTTTTCACCTCTTCCACAAGTTTCTCAACACGCAAACTTCTCTCATCTCTCCCCTGACGCTGTCTTTGGTTTCTCCGCCTATCTCGTAGACTGATTGCTCACACAGAATTGCCCCGAGCTTGTTTTCCATATTGTTCTTTCCCATCAGAACGCTCTCGGCCCTTCAGACATGATGTTCCCGCTGCAGCGTTGGCTGCATTTCAGGATTGGTGCGTTGCTGCCGTCGTTCGTATGTTTCGGTTTCGCCCCAGCGCGGACCACGTTTCCAGTCCGTTTCGTTCCTCGTCGTCGTCGTCCCCTCTCTTTTCCCTCCGCCTTCCATTGGCTCCCATGCGTCTCCTACTTGTCCTGCTCCTTCTGGTCCTCCCCATTCCTCATAATCCTGCTCTTCCTCCTTTTCATTATCCTGCTCATCCGACCCCCCCTCCGTAGCACAGCGTAAAAAGACCCCCCTTTCTGATCGTGTATCACACGATGGGGCCACTGTGGGGACTCCGGGTCATTTGGGCCACTTCAACAAGACTTAAACGCAGAGTCAGATCCACAAGGCAACGCGCGGGCCGGCACAACAGCCAGACTCACACTAAAGCCAGTTTAAGGTGGGTGTGTGTGGCGGGGGGGGGGGAGGCCAGGCTACCAGGGGATCCACGCAAGTCAGATCGCATAATTCTGATAGCATCTAGAGGATACGGAGTGGACGAAGAAGGAGGAGCGACCGAGAAGGGGGGGCAGGAGGGGGAGGAGCGAGGAGCAAGACCAGGGCCGCCGGCCGTGAAGGCAGGCGAGCCTATCTTGGAGGGCGCCACCCGCCACGGCGGCCGCCTTTTGTTGCTGCTGCGCCCCCCGCTGCAGCACCAGAGGTGCTGCCAGGGGCGCCGCGGCCACGGGCGAGACGTCGCAGCCCGAGCGGCGCCAATTGGCAGCACCAGAGGTGCCGCCAGTGGGCGCGTGCGGCGCGTGCGGCCGAGTTGTGGGGGCTGGTGGGCATCCTGGCTGCCCGTCCGCTGCGCCTGCTGCCTCGCCCGCGCCCGATGTTTCGCTTCAGGCTGCCGTGACCAGCGCTCCTCTTCCTCATACCTATTATTCCTCATCCTGCTCTTCCTCATCCATTCCTTTTCCTCCTGTCGCACCCCGAGGCCGATCAAAAAGCGTGGGCCAGGCGTTTTTCGCCTGAGACCTCCTTACAATCACGGATGGAGGGCGGGTGGTTTTCAAACTGTTGCTCTCGCCTTAGCGCCGCGCGCATCTGTTTTCAATATCTGCAGTAGTGACACAGATGGAGGGCGGTTCCGTTTACGAGGCGTGGTCTTACAGGCCCAGCATTTCCAACAACATGTGTTGGATTGCTGCGCATCTTGTGTCTCCCCGCGGTCTGCCTCCGCAGGCCCCGTGCGCTGGGTGGGTTTGCCGAGGTTCGCGCCGGGGCCCAACATACTGTTCGTACGTGAAGGGTGGGGAGCCAACTTGACATAGACCAACCCAGATTTTAACCATAGACCTGCAGAGTGTGAGTCAGAGGGTTATCAGCTGAACTAGATCGGGAGTGACTTACAAAGCAGGTGTCGCCCGAAAAAGGGGCTCGCAAACTTGCTCACCCAGAACAGACGAGGAAGGACAGGGATCGGGCCAAGAGAAGTCGCGTCGAGGCTGGGCCGCGCTTGCGCAGGGCACAACTGTCGACTGGCGCAGGCCCAGGCCAGGCGGTGGGAGCGCGAGTCGGCGTCGCGGAGCCGAGCAACCTCGCCGACGCTTCCCCCTCGCCGGGGGCTGGGCCAGCCCAACCTCGACACACCCAGGAGCCACCACGACACCACTGCGCTCGCGCAGCAGGGTCGGGCGGTCGGGGAAGCATTGGGATATCAGCCCCGCGACTCATGCCTGAACCTCCCAATCCCTGGCCGGATTTTATTTCTTCCTTCCGCGGCGACACGTTAAACTTGGGACCCCTGGCGGCGCATGGATTTCTTATGATGCATTTCTTTCTTCCGCGCGCGAGTTGCCATTTGAACCTCTGAACCCCTCCGACTACCGTACAACTAGTACTTGAGTACGATTGGTACTATCATGTACTAGCGCGCAGTTGCTCCTAGAGAGCAAATTGTCCTGCCGTGCAAGCATCAGAGTGCAACTGGTATCATATTAGTAGTGTAAGCCCCCAGCACAGCTCTCCACTGCAATCCCCAGTACAACTCCTTCTTACGACAAGTACAACTCCTGAGTGCAACTCCTCAGTGCAACTGCCTAGTACAAAACCCTAGTACAGCTACTAGTGCAGTTCTCAAGCACAACTAGTGCAACTTTCCAGTGCGAGTAGAACTCCCCAGCGCAACCCCCCAGTGCAAGGAGCACGAGTACAACTCCCCAGTGCAATTCCACTGTGCCAGTACAACTCCCTGGCGCAACTCCGTAGTGCAACTCCCTAGCACAATTCCCTGGGACACGTGGAGCTAGTACAACTCCCTAGTGCAACTCCCTAGCACAACCCCCTAATATTAGTACAACTCCCTAGTGCATCTCCCTAGTACAACTCCCCAGTGCAACTCCCTAGTTCAATTCCATTCGTGCAATTCCCTGTGCAACTCCCTAGTACTAGTCCAACTCCCTAGTACAACTCCCAGTAGGACTCCCTGGCACAACTTCCTATTATTAGCACGACTCCCTAGTGCAACCACTATTGGCATTGCACTTACAATCTGGGCTCTCACGCTTTTCCGCCTCTGGTTGCGCTGGAGGGGGTGGGACCCCTCGCGCGGGCACCTCCGCGGCTGAGAATTCATTCCTCTTCCGGAATTTAAGGCGGGGGTAACCCCGTGCTCGAACCCCTCGCCAGGGATTTTGTTTTGCCTCCGCGGAAACCGGACTCCCTGGGTTCCTGGGCGCGCCCCAGAAGTTCGTTCTGCCTGGATGGGCCCCCATGGGTCCTTCGTTGGAGTCGCGGGGTTGATGTTGGGATCGGGCACAAAAAAGAGCCCGCAAATCAGCTCACCCCAAAAAGAAGAAGAGAGACCTCGTAGCCATTTTGGTTCAAGCCAGAACGTTGTCTGCGGCACCAGCGCCCATGCTGCCGTCGCGGCTGTGTCCCCCGCAGCCTTTCCGCGCCGGCATCCCATGGGACCTACCCGCGCCTTAATCACGATTAAGGATGGCACCACGTACATCAACGACCGTGAGCTTGCGCGCTCTTACCTCTCGAACCTCGCGGCATCGGCCAACAAGGTCACCCGCAATGACGAGATTTCCCAGCGGCTTGCAGTTGTCGAAGTTGGCATGCGGGTGCAGCAGCTGGTTGGAGGGTCATTCTCTACTCCTCTTGCCACAGCCATGTCGGCCCTGAGGAAGCTGAACACGGCGGTGAACGTGGCCAAACACGTTGACACGGAGTGCGACGACATGCCCATCGACAGCGTCCAGCAGCAGACGCCCCAGGAGCTGGAGTTCCAGGGGGCCAACAAGCGGGAAGACCGCACGGCGACTCTACAGCAGAAGTAGAGCAAGGACCTCTACCAGAAGCGAATGGAGAAGAAAGTCAACAAGGACAAGAAGGACCTGAAGGCCAAGACAGACGAGCTTCCAGCCTGCCCCCAGGGGCATTCGCTCAAGAAGTTCAAGATCAAGGCCCGCGAGAAATACTTCTGTTCGGTCTGCGGCGCAGACATCCCGATTGACAATTACACGGCGGCGTGCAAAAAGCAGTGCGACTACGACGCGTGCGAGGATTGTGGCTGAGCCCTCGAGGAGCCCTGAGTCCCATCCCGTCTGCCGTCTGGTCTCGCCCTTGCCCTCCCCTGGCTTTTGCTTTCCCGCTTTCGCTTCCCCGACAACGCGTAGTCTATCCTGTAGAAGGCTCGAAGAGCACATCTTATACTGTGGCGGTCTCGCATTTTCGGGAGGAAAAAAAAGAAGAAGAGAGGCCGTGATCGGGCTCGCGAGAGCTGCGAGCCAAACAAGAACAGTGGCCCGCAAATCTCCTCATCTGAAACCGATTGGATTTTGGTTTCGCAGAAACTGCGGGACAAAACGCAATGGCCCGCAACTCGCCTCGGCTCACGCTAAGTGCGGTCCAAAAGCAAATGGCCCGCAAATCTCACCACCCCAAGCAAACAAGGAAAGGCTGTGCTTGGCTTTGCGGAAATTGCGAGCGCACGACATGCCGACAAATCTCTTCACCCCACAGATACCAGGAAGGGTTGGCATTGGGATCGCAGATACTGCGGGCCAAAGCGTAATGGCCCGCAAATCTCTTCGGCTCGCGCAAATTGCGGGCCAAATACGAAATGGCCCGCAGATCTCCCCATCCCAAACACGAAAGGAAAAGCTGTGGCTGGGCTCTCGGAAATTGCGGGTCGAACAGAAGTGTCCACAAACTCCCCACCCAAAAAGGAGACCAGGAAGGATTCGGATTGGGCTCACAGCATCCGCGGGCCAATCAAAATTTGGGCGAGGATGGCGGGGAAGCTCCGAAGGAGGAGGAGGAGGCGG